TCTTGAGAAGAATATATCAATACAAGCAGAATTAAAACATAATTCTGCTACAACTAACAGAATACAAACTTTCAATAGACATACGACGAGTGTATATATCCACAAGGAATAAACTTCTAGTGAAGAATTTCAAAATACAAGCAGAATTTAAACAGCATTCGGCTACAAGTAGCAGAATTCAAACTTTCAGTAGTCATACGAGGTGTGAATATATTTATCAGGAATAAAGTTCTCGTGAAGAATACAAAAATACAAGCAGAATTTAAACAGGATTCTGTTACTTGTAGCAGAATACAAAATTTTAAAAGATATAGGAAGAATGCATATGTCGATGAAGAATAAACTTCTAGTGATGAGTATAAAAATACAAGCAGTATTTAAATAGAATTCTGTTACAAGTAACAAACTATAAACACTCAATAGGCATATCACAAGTGTATATATCCATCAGCAATAAACTGCTAGTGAAGCATTTAAAAGTACAAGCAGAATTTAAACAGAATTCTGCTACCAGTAACAGAATACAAGCTTTCAATAATCATACGAGGAGTGAATATATTCGCGAGGAAATTTAAACAGAATTCTAATACTACTAACAGAATATAAACATCCAAGAGGGCATACTAGAAGGTCCTATATCGACTAATAAAAAGTTCTACTAAACAATTTTAAAATAATCAGTAGAACTCAAAATAGAATTTTGTTACGCCTAACAGAATGCAAACTTTGAATAATCGAACTAGAATCGTATACATTCAAGATAAAAGAAATTCTGCTAAAGAGTTTAAAAATAACAGCAGAATTTAAACAGAATTCTGGTATCATAAGCTGAATACAAACTTTCAATAAGCATACCAGAGGCTACACATCGATCAGGAAAAAATTTCTAGTAAAGAATTAAAAAAAAATCCTAGCAGAATGTAAAACAGAATTCTAATATTGGTAAAAAATAGATCAATTCACTAAGATAAATTCCCAATAGCAAATAAACTACTAAGTACCACGCTAACCTGTCAGGAAGTATTCTACAGAATTCTGACTACAATAGAAATAGACCAGAATGGAATATATAGTGTTTGATAACATAAAAATGTATAAAATTCTGTAGAACTCTAAGCAAAATTTAAATGGATCAGAATGGAATATGTTGTCTTCTGGTATGTGAATACTTCTCCTTTTCCTCCTTTTTCCTGAAACATATCCTCCTTCTCCTCCTTTTCACATTGAAATCCTCCTATTCCTCCTTTTTGTCACTTAGGCTGTGAAATCAGTATGTTAAACAAAAAAAAGCTTTGATGATGTTGCAACTGATAAGACACCTGAAAAATTTGAGCATTCTATTCTAACGAAAAAAATATTTTCTTGATTTTCAACTAAAATTAACTTTCATTTTGATAATTTACAATTGTCATCGTCATAAGACGACTACAGGAATGTACAGAAAGGTCTATATGTGTATAAATTTGTAATATGTAGCATCAAAAGATAATCTAATTACAATTTGTCAGAAGGAACAAAACGAAACAAGGAACACGATTATACAATAATTGGAATTGTTCTATAATTCTGTCCTTTGTTTTGTTTGTTTGTTTTGTTTCTTCTAATAAATTGTAATTCGATTACCTTTTGATGTTACATCTTACAAACTTATATATATAAGTTTCCTTTTTCGTTGCAGTACTATACTGATCCATTTCAAAGAAAGTTTATTTTTAAATAATCATATTTTCGTTAAATGCCTCGTCATAACACAAAATTTAATATTTCATGGTTGGAAGAAAGGATTCAGATGGTAATCCTTGAAGCGATGGCTGAAACAAGGTACAATACCATCATCATTCATTTGTACATTATGTAAAACTGACGATTTATGCTGTGGGAATAAAGGATGGCAGTCTGTTGAACGTCATATGAACAATAAAAAACATCGTGATAATTTAAAATTGATAAAAGAAAACACTACATTTACTGTTCAAACTGAAGCAAATCGTACTCAATCATAACCAAGTTCTTCATCATCAAGTATTTCAATGGTAACAATTGCTTCTCAAACAAAGAATATTAGCTTTTTAGATCAAGTGACACGTGCCGAAACGTTATGGGCAATAAATGCAGCACGTCATGGATATAGCTATCTTTCATGTGATGAATCTGGTGATCTGTTCAAAACAATGTTTCCAGACTCAGATATTGCACAAAAATTCAAAATGGAACGAACAAAACTATCATATATGATTTCACATGGTCTTGATCCATTTTCCATCGTAATCTTGTTCAAGATATCAAACAATGTGAAAGATTTGTATTATGCTTTGATGAGCAAAAGAACCATCAGAATAATAAACAATTGGATTTATTTTTGAAGTATTGGAGTGTTCAGAACCAAGGTGTTGTAACTCGTTATTATAAATGTATACTTCTTGGTCATGCACCAACAAATATTATTAGAGATAGCATTGTTGACTCGTTTCGCACAGATAGAATTGATATTAAACGTTTATTGATGATTGGACGTGATAATCCTAATGTCAATAAAACTGTTGAAAAGCTCATTGATGGAGAACTGAAGAAAGCTGGTGGAGAATTACTCAAATTAGGTTCATGTCATATCCACATGGTTCATAATGCTTTCAAAGCAGGTCAGAAGCTTGTAAGGAAATATTTATTAAAACTAATTTTTTGGATTGTTAGGTACAACAGCATCATATTGGCATATTCAAGATTTCTGCATAGATATATGGTCCTGGTTTCGTCATTCGCCAGTACGAAAAGAAGATTTCGTAAAACTTTGTGAGGAATTGAATGAAGAAGTTGAAAAAAACATACTGTGCTTTGTTTGTACACGTTGGGTATTGCTCGGTAAAGCAGTTGATCAAGTTTTAAGTGAGTGAATGCAGAAAAAACTATTATTTTATACATCAAAACTTAATTTTTCAAATAGCACAATAGGAACTTTTAAATGAATATTTTCTTGTATATTTACCCGCAAATGATAAAGCACAAATAAAAGAAAGTAAAAAATACAATGCTATCAAATCATGCTTGTCATCACACGTTTTAAGAATTCGTTTATTATTTATCTCTTATCTAGAGGGTTGGGCAACTTTGTCATCGGTGACACAAATGATTATTCCAAGCGAAAAAATGACGCTCAGCACAAAAATGATCGGCTCCTGACAAAATGAGAATAATGCTATGCTGCATAGGAAAATGATTAGCACTAATCGAATAAAGACTATGGCCAGAGGAATAATGATCTTATTTTATAGTTACATATATTATTTTGGTCAGCGGAAAAATGAAAATCCATCGGAATAATGCTATTTTTCCGAGGAAAAATGATTGAGAATAATGGAATAATGACGATGACAAGAGGAATAATGATCTTATTTTATAGTTACATATATTTTTTTAGTCAGCGGAAAAATGAAAATCCATCAGAATAATGCTATTTTTCGTAGGAAAAATGATTGAGAATAATGGAAGAATGCCTATGACAAGAGGAATAATGATCTTATTTTATAGTTACATACAAGTAACGCGACGCAAACGTCGCTAACCCTCTACTGAAAGGAA